AAATCAAGAAATTCTTTGAAACTAATCAAAACAAAGATACAATATACCAGAATCTCTGGGACACAGCTAAAGGAGTGTTAAGAGGAAAGCTTATAGTGCTAAACAACCACGTCAAAAAGTTAGAAGTATCTCAAATTAACAACCTAACATCACACCTAGAGAAACTAGAAAAACAAGAGCAAACGAACTCCAGAGCTAGCAGAAGAAAAAATAGCCAAAATCACAGCTTAACTGAATGAAATTGAGATGAAAGAAATACACAAAAGACCAACAAAATCACAAGTTGGTTCCTTGACAGAATAAATAAAATTGATAGGCTGCTAGCTAGACTAATAAAGAGAGAAGATTCAAATATAGTCAGAAATGACAATGGGGACATTACCACCACCCCACAGATACACAATAATTCCTCAGAGACTATCATTATCACCTCTACACACTGGAAAATCTAGAAGAAATGCATAAATTTCGGGAAGCATAACACCTCCAAAGATTATATCAGGAAGCAATTGAAACCATAAACAGATCAATAACAAGTTCCAAAATTGAATCGGTACTAAAACACTACCAACCAGAAAAAGCCCTGTACCAGAATGAATTACAGTCGAATTTTACTATACATGTAAGAAGAGCTGGTGCCAATCTTACTGAAATAATTCCAAAAAATGAGGAGGAGGGGCTCTTCTATAACTCATTTTTTGAAGCCAGCATCCATCAGTCTGATGCCAAAATCTGGCAGAAACACAACAAATAAAGAAAACTTCAGGCCAATATCCCTGATAAACATATATGCAAAAATTCTCAATGAAATACTAGTGAACCTAATACAGCAACACATCAAAAAGCTAGTCCACAACAATCAAGTAGGCTTTATTCCTGGGTTGCAAAGTTGGTCCAAAATATGCAAATCAATACGTTTGAGGCATCACATAAACAGAAATAAAAACAAAAACCACAAGATCATCTCAATAGACACAGCAAAGACTCTTAAGAAAATTCAACATCCCTTCATGTTAAAAACCCTCAACAAACTAAGCATCAAAGAAACTTACCTCAAAATAATAAGAGCCATCCCAACAAACATATGAAAAAAAGCTCAACATCACTGATCATCAGAGAAATGCAAATCAAAACCACAATGAGATACCATCTCATGCCAGTCAGAATGGCGATTATTAAAAGGTCAGGAAACAATAGATGCTGGCAAGGCTGTGAAGAAGCAGGAACACTTTTACACTGTTGGTGGGAATGTGAATTAATTCAACCATTGTGGAAGATAGCATGGCTATTCCTCAAGGATCTAGAATCAAAAATACCATTTGACCCCACAATCTCGTAACTGGGTATATACCCAAAGGAATCTAAATCATTCTGCTATAAAGATACATGCACATGTATGTTTACTGTAGCACTGTTTACAATAACAAAGACATGGAACCAACCCAAATGCCAATCAATAATTGACTGGATAAAGAAAATGTGGTACACATACACCATGGAATACTATGCAGTCATAGTACTATGCAGCCAATGAGATAATGTCCTTTGCAGGGACACGGATGCAGCTGGAAGCCATCATCCTCAGCAAACTAACACAGGAACAGAATATCAAATACCACATGTTCTTACTCATAAGTGGGAGTTGAACAATGAGAACACATGGACACAGAGAGGGGAACAACACACACCAGGGCCTGTTGAGGGTTGGATGGTGAGGAAAGGGAACTTAGAGGATGAGTCAATAGGAGCATCAAACCACCATGGCACAAGTACACCTATGTAACAAACCTGCACATTCTGCACCTGTATCCCGTCTGAGGCGGGTGGACCACTTGAGGTCAGAAGTTTGAGACTAGCCTGGCCAACATGGTGAAACCCCATCTCTATTA